TATCAAGATCCCTGCTTCATACAAAAAGAGACAGGCTTCTGAGCGCGAAGTCACACAGCTGTTGAGAAAAGAAACGAGCCTTCTCTAGTCTCCAACCAGATAGTAACCTTCTATTCCCAGGTTGCCCTACAATACAAAGATGTCCTTTCCTGTTTCAATCTCTATTGACTGACCAACCTACCGACCATGTGCATAGTCATGCTATCAAATGACAGTGCACACGTGAAAGCACATTTTCACTGTGCCTGCTATTTCCAGAAACCTTGGCTTTATAAATAACATTTCAAAACGAGAGGTAAATTCTCTCTCAATGAAACATTTAAAAAGAAAACATCAGAAGCATGTTGATATCAACTCTCCAATTATCTGAAATATTAGGGATAAATCTATGAGACTTAGATAACTCAAAACTCACTGCCATCAAATCGATTCCAACTCACATTGACTTAATGAAACAGCTCTGAGGCTGTAATTCTTTACAGGAGCAACCCAATAATCGAACCTACCTACCACCCATCCATCAAACTGCTTGGTGAGCACTCCCTTACTATTGCCACCCTAACTCCCCAGACCACTGGCTCCTATCCGGCATCCCCAGTGGTAGCTTCTCAACACTCCACCAACCAAAATACTAGTCACCAAGTAATCACCCCTTAAATATTTTCATTTCGGAACTCTTAAAAAATGCAAAAACTTCCCTTTAGCCAGCTATGTCAAGTCTAAATTCACCGGCTGAGCTTCCCTATCTTCCCTTCACCTACTTCCTGCTGCTGATACTCCTGAGGGCAAGCAATCTCCTCAGTGCCCTATAAACATATCAAGGTCATGTTGGACTCTGGGTCTCAAATAGTCCCATCCCCTTACACATTCATCTACTCGTCGTTCAAAGGCAGGTCAAATCTTGGCCCCTCTATCAAGTGTGCCCCCCCACACACACACACACACTGCTGCTGCCTCAGTCGCGGCTCCAGCACTTGAGTCTTTGGTCATCTTTTGCAGCCCCAGCACTTAGAATCTGCCTCAAAACAGACACTCACGAAATGCCGTCTGGCTGTAAATTATATAATGCTGTGTTCAAATAACAAAGTAGCTTTTGCAATTATCTCTTCAAACCAGCTGCTTGCTTCATTAGCGGAACCAGTGGCAGGGTGCCCAAAACCACTGTTGCTGAGGTTCTCCTGGGAGTGCACACACCAATGAGGTGTCCAGTGCTCACAGCCCTTCCAACCTGGCAACACCGGAACCCACGCAGCCCGCGCTGAGAGTCTGAAGGTTAAGAACAACCCTGCTGACATTTTACTCCTGTTACCATCTCCTCTAGGGCTTAACAGTGCTGGAACCAAAATGGCTTTACCACAAACTAGGATGACAGTATAACACTCAGGGCTCATTACCATATAGAACACCATGAAACAACTACTCATGAAATCTTATTCACAATCATTTTTGAGTGCCTTTTGTTCTTCCAGGCTAAACTCATCAAACAAATTTAAATGCTCCCCCTCCAAAACACCCACACACCTTTTTTATAAAACTAGAATCCTTATGCCACTAGACAAAACAAAATCCAGTTACATCTGTGATAAGCTTGTAAGTCACAAATATGAATAACTATTATACATTTAGATCATCACTTCCTTAGTATGTAACATTTTCTTTAAAGCTGGCCTATAAGAGAAGTTCCACATGTCATAAAATTACTTTAAAATGGTTGGAATGGAAAATGTTATATAAAGTCAAAAAGTATTGCTATAAAATTATAGCCAATGTCTTTAAACAAAAGTATTAAGGCGTAACGTGAAGCTAATGTTTCTGAACCTATCTTCCATCTGGACCCATACTATCCTTAAGATGTCATTTCCATCCCTAACCCTTCCCTCCATAGAACTCTGTGCTCTTCCATTTACACCATATCAAAATGGTGTTTGAGCATCCCCAAGGGGCACAAATAGCATTCTTTTGAAATGTTCTTTGAGTTTGAGAAATTTAAAAAAAAAATCTCAATGAGCAAGTTAAGAGGTAGAGAGTCGATGTGATTAGATTTTTCCAACAAAATTCTCACAGGATTTGCTTGCTACCTACCTTAAAGAACTAGCAGGTCACAATTAATTTTTTTTTTTAATTCTTCAGAGCAACATTCCTGGCCTTTTCTTCATAAATGTTTTCTTAAAAACCCCTTCCTGATAAGGCCCTGTGCTCCTCCTGTATCCTTTGAGAGAAGCTCAAGGTTATCCCTCAGCGTCCCCAAAGTAGCTGCCACAATCTCCTGGCCCAGCAGACTCCCTCAGAAGCCAATGTTGTGATTGGACCTTTGTATTAAAGCCCCCTAAAGAGACTAAGACAAGTGATTCCTGGGAGAACTTGTCTGCAGCCCCCCACTGCACAGAGATATGGCTACACACTTTGTTTTGGACTACGCCCATGCATGTATCAACTGAAACTCTGGTGGCATTACTTGCAACTTATCGCATATGGATTTCACCACAATGATTTTTTTAAAAAAGAATAAAAAGATGTTGAACACCAATGCTATATGAAAAGGAAGGAAAGATACACGTTTTTAAAGAGAAGATGCTATCGGAATGTCATCAAACTCACGAAGGAAGTGGAAGAAAGATTAAGAGCATGGAACAACTACTAACAGGGAGAAGACGAGTTTAAACAGCTTCAAGTCAGTGAACCAGTTAAATCCCTTCAGAGTCGCACTGCAACTGCCTGGGGAGCTTTGAAAACGCTGATGTCTGAAGCCCAGGCCACAGAACTATCCACATTTCACTAGTCTGAGCTGTGGCCTGGGCATCCGAATTTTAAAAGCTCCCTCAGTGACTCCAAGGAGCAGCCAGGATTAAAAACCAAAAGAAAGCTCTTGCTTACAAAACAAACAAAGAAATTCAAGTTTGGGATAAAAGCTCTGAGCAACTGGCAATGACCAGAGGATCAAAATTTTTAAAGTGGAAAAAGACCAATTACTCATGAACAAAATGCTGATTAAAAAAATCCATCAGTCTTCATGAGCCCACCTAGGTGAGCCTCCAGAAAAGGCAAACAGCAGGCAGTAAGAAGATCAGC